ATAAATAAACACCCTTTTAAGTTCAAACTTTAGCTCAAAATATTTTAGTAATGCATCGACGTGTTTTGGCGTGTATTGAAGCCAATGGTTGTCACACTCACTATTGATTCCACATTTTGCAGAAAAAACGCCTTGTTTATTTGTGTAAAAGTTCAGACAATGATACCACGTGTATTGCAGTGTCAGTCAAACGGTACTTTCGACCTTGTATGAAATGAAATTGTGGATATTTGCTGTAGAATTGAATACTTTATTGAAGTTACAAAGATGTTCATTTATATATTCTTTTTGTTTTCTTTTCAAATTTGGTCAAACAAACTGTATACTTTCTTTTTGAGCACTTGTTTATATTGTGAATGGAAGACAAGAAATGTCTTGGCCTATTCCGAGAACGTTCCTATTTCGGCTCGAGTTCGAGAATGTTCTGATAGCCTTTTGTAATATGAAAGGGGCGTGATCATGTCTCAGTCACCTCACATTACATCTCACATGTCATGAAGATCAGTTGTGTGACGATCAGTTTCACCTTAAATTCTCAGTGTTTGCCTATTTTAGAAACTTGACCGCTATTACAGCGAGGAGAATACTGCCATAATCACTGCGTTAATATCTTATTGCTATATACTGCCATTCTATTTGCAAACTTAGTTAATTTTGGAATATCGTTGTTGACACTTATTATTATAGGATATTTATATAGCGCATATATCCACGCAACTAGTGCATGCTCAAGGCGCTGGAGTGTTCCCTTGATTTTTTCTGGCATTTTTGTAACCAACTCAGCTCCCTGGGTAGTATTCAACTCATGCTGCCTGTTTGGCGCAACGACTTATCACGCAGACTCATTATCACAAGATACCCATTTGCATCTGGGTGAATTGGGACACATAGTCAAAAGAGTCATTTCTTTGTTGTTTGTTGGTATTACACTAGGTTCTTTACAGACTTATTTCAAGTTTACATATTTTTTCAACTTTGTGAAAGGCAGACACCAACGACTTTGGGCGCTAGATCACCCCACGACACATTCTGACCACTTGGTACCGTTCCTTCCCTCATCCAGACCCGAATCTTTTGTCATAAGGAATCTATAAGCATTGATCGAAATAGGAAGCAGGAGGTCTCCCTTGTCTCCTGTATGTTTAGTTCAGGTGGAGTCAGTGGAATGGAATTAGCTATTTATCATTGTGCGATAACAGATCATAACGCAGTAGTAAATTGATGCACTCGCTGGCCAGCTACGTTATGAAACATCTCGTTGTAAGATAAATGGTATGTGACAGTCCCTCGAGTCTGAATGTTTTCACATACACTAAACCAGATCAGGTTCACCCACTGATAGCAAACCAGCAGGTAAATGTAAGTCTTATATGCCACACCGAGAGATAATCGATTGTACAATTGCTGTGTCAACATTTACGGTATATGTAAATCATATATTTTTACACACACACACACACACACAACACACACACACATATATATATATATATATATATATATAGATAGATAGATAGATAGATAGATAGATAGATAGATAGATAGATAGATAGATAGATACACTAGTATATGTATTAAGTTAATTACGTGAGTATGTTTAAGAATTTGCAAGGTTTACTTGGGCCTTGTTATCCGTTCATAAATAACTTGTTCAATATTCATACTAACGTATTCGACAATATTTTGTACATAAAAGTCCGTATTCACATCATGTACCATCGAACCCCATAAGGTGTTCATGAAAAGATTTCAGTAGCCGGCAGACACCGTCGTGCGTGGAGCTTTAGGTTACTGTCCTATATGTACTCATTTGGAATAAGAAACGCCCCACGACACAACCTGACAGGAAACTCATTTGTATCAAGTGGTTTGCGTGACGTTCAGAAAGAAGGAAGTCAAGATAGCTCAACTGGCGGATGTGTTCTTGAACAACCGTTAATGGAGCGTACGTAGATACGTTAAGGCAGGTTCATCGACTAAGTAAGTGGTTGGATAGGTGGAAAATGAGTGGGTGAGTGATGTGAACCAGCTTCCAACAATATTTCATTGGATTTACAGTATGTTAGATTGATGTGGAAGCCAAAAAAGTGGAACCCCTACCTCTACACATAACAAAAAACAAAACAAATACAAAAACAAACAAACAATAAAAAACCCAAAACAAAACCCCCCAAACATCAATTCAAATTGCCGTGAAGTGTTATTTCAATAAAATTTACAGTATGTTAGATTGATGTGGAAGCCGAAAACAGTGGAACTCCTACCTCTACACATACCAAAAACACAACCAAAACCCCCAAACCCCCCAAAATAACATCATTTCAAATTGCGGAGATAGGTAGGTGAACGCTCCATGTGGTCTTCGATTTAGGCCGTGCATCTATTCTATAAATGAAATTATGTAAAATATTTGTTTCATGGTGTATTTCAGGGGAACATACAGGAATCGCGAAGAGATAACACGAGTTCACAAAGATCCATATACATGCATCCCCTTACAAAATGATAGAGAGTAGTGCGTGATTGTATTCATGGGTATCTAAACTTACACAAGGAAACGAATAGCAGATATGAATAATATGTAATTTATATTACAGGGGAGTTTAGAACTTGGAAATGACAAATTTGGATTGGGGACCGTAAATAATATAGCGGTAGAACACATCAGAATTATTTTCGACAAATAGACTACCCGTGAAGAATATCAGCCTTCAGTAACCCATGCTTGTCATAAGAGGCGACTAACGGGATCGGGTGGTCAGGCTCGCTGCTTGGTTGACACATGTCATCGGTTCCCAAATTGCGCAGATCGATGCTCATGTTTTATTGATCACTGGATTGTCTGGTCCAGACTCGATTATTTACAGACCGCCGCCATATAGCTGGAATATTGCTGAGTGCGCCGTAAAACTAAACTCACTCACTCACTCGAGAAATATACTATCGTGCATGTAGAAGAGTGTTTCATTGTTTTACATGATTTCTCTTTATTTTATTGGTAGACGTGAGTTTGTCTAAATAAGGCATCCGAGTTTTCAAATGTTTTTGAGTGAGTGAGTGAGTTATTATTTAAGGTCACATCGGCAATATTTCAGCCATATCGTGAGGAGAACACATTCAAATGTTTTTGAGATAACCAATGAATGATATGCCACTACACCTGAAGGGAGGTCTGAAGAAGAATTGACCCATTTTGTCGGAATTGTAAATCTGGAGCGCACATTCCAGTGGGAAAACGTTTTGAATGTTTTCTGCACTTGAAATGTTGTAAAATGCGGCCACTAAATACTGGGGCACCTGGAATTTCGCTTCACATACAGTGAAACTTGAAGTCATCCCTCTTGTATCAAATACTTTTTCTTTAACTAAAACTTTAGGACAAATTCCTTCCTTGACTAAATTAATGATCGTCTTTGAGACAATGATTTGGAGTTTGATTTAGTGGACCAAGCAAAGTATCGATCTCAATAGGAATTTCTACTAGGTAGCTTTGGAATTCATTACAAAGGAGGAGTGGACTTGTCTTGAAATTTGAGAGTTTCAGCAGAAGTCTTCGTCTAAATAAGCTAGCATCAGATGTATTCAAATGTGTTCAAATGTGTGTGTCACAAGAAGAAATTATTCTGCACGGAGATGGGATAGAACGACAAATTTCCTCCAGCTTAACTGCACATGAGAAGATGTAATAAATGTATCTCTACTTTCTTGAATAGAATTAACCCATTGAATGAACTACCAAGTTGAGATACAGCAGCAGATTAGTTTCCTGGTTGATTTAGTGGCAATTTCAAAGAGGACTTTGGAGTATTCATGTCTCAAGTCAAAGTCAAAGATATTTATTGTACTTAAGGCCTCCGGCCCATTTACAAGTAATACAAGTATATATACAGCACATGTTACAGACATTTCACAAAGAAATTACAGTTCAGATAAGATATTGCTTCTAAGGAAAACAGCATGTTTTACATAAAGCGCAAGATTACGTATTAAATTTTCATTTTTGGAGGATAGAATGGAAGCAAAGGCAGGTGAAGGCTATTTTAACAGGTAATTATTTGGGATATATTTTTTCTTAAATCAGCATAATGTGGGCATACAAAAGCGAAGTGAGTTTCATCTTCTATAGCCGAGTTACATAATGGACATATCCTTAAACGTCTCTCTATTGAACATCGTCTGCCCTTATTTACTGATAAGTCTAATAAGCCCAATCGTAAATTGACAAGTGTGCGTCTGATATTTCTAGATGGCAATACAGATAGATATAGTTCTGGTTGAATTAAGCTCTTATGTGATCTATACAACTGGTATCTTGAACTATTGTCTAGACAGGAATGACATTCTTGATAATACATGCTAACAGATTGTTCTCGAAATTGCTTAAGAAATAGATTAATATTACCAACTGTTTGATTTAGCCACACAAATCCAAAGCCATGAGAAAATAAAAGAATTCTAATATGAGACGCCCATGTTGCCTTACCCCTATCATCTAAATGTACAAGCATGTTATAAGCTAGTTTGGGGATTCTTTGTTCGTGCATTCCAAGGATCGTTAACCAATATTTTAAACATCTGATTTGTGAATTTATATATATCGGATATCTACCGCATTCTCTAAGTGGCTGGTTGGTTTGTATAATCTATCTTACTGCCTTGAGGTATTGTCGAAAGACATATTGCGCCTTTCGTTCAGGCAGAAAGAAATGCAGTCAGGAACAAGTCAGTACTCAGAAATGGTTATTTTATGGCATTCTCAAATGAAAATGATATTTTTATCGTTTGAGGGACGAATGAGATAGGAATTACTTTCTCCTAGCGTAGGGGAATACAACAAAGGGGTGTAATTCAGTTGTAGGTGGCGCCTAATGAGAGTATATAAGGCGTATGATATTTGAATAGTCATTCTCGCTTGTTGTGCACCAAGTATACATTGCGTCATGGATACTTCTGAATCTGGCAATCCCATTAACGACAAACTCGACGCCATTTAAAAGCGCATGGACTCTTCTCAGATGGATTTGGAACGCAAAATCCAATCTAGAATAGAGGCTAGTCTCGAGGGTGTGAGAGAAGAGTTTGCAAAAACCACAAACAAAATCCAGAAATTGAAGGCCGATAAAGACTTTACATGGTTTAGAGAAGGTAATAGAATCCAGTACAATTTTAACACAGAGACACTTGAGGCCTTTCGTCAGATTGAATTTGGACTAGAGTATGAAAAGTTAGACTACTTTAAAGAAGTTGTGCAGAGCGAGGTATCCAGGATAGAGAATCGTAATAAGTTGATAAGAATAGCTGATTCTTCCGAAGCTGGTTGGGAGACGGTACGTCACTACGTGTCACGTGATTTGGCCGAGAACTCTGATGATGACAGGCTATCAAGAAGATCAAGGCCAAGAATCTGCGATCTTCACGTGGACACCCGTATAGGACGATATCACGACCTACATTCAGTACCCAGTCCGTGCAGACCGGTGGAAGTGCGACGCACGCTGATCCTTTGTCTACTGGGACTCAGCTTTTTCGTGGCCGGGGAGGTCAAAGGTCTGGAGCATGCTTTCACTGCGGTGACTTCTCACACTGGCGTAGGAATTGTCCCCTCTACGTCAGCAAACATGCCACGTCGGACAGACAGAGTTCAGCCTGATCAGAGTGGTTCTGCTGATACGAAAGTTAAGTATCACAGTTTTTGGCAATCTCTCAAGGTTCTATCAGATAATCTGAGGTTAACAACAGATTATTACGAGTATGAACAAGGACAGGCAGAAATTGTGGTAAAAGGCAGATTGAAAGAAAATATTTCATTTTGGAAGTTTATCAATGCAAGTGATTTTGTTATTGCCATCATTGATAATGGCTACAGAATCCCTTTTTATTCATCCCACCAGATAATGGACAGACGAAATAACAGATCAGCGCTGTGCAATGGTGACTTTGTAGAAAGTGCTATTCGTGATTTAGTCAAGAAAGGTTTGGTCGTTGTTTGTTTGTAAGAAACCTACTGTCGTTAGTCCTTTATCTGTTGCTACTCGGTCGTCTGGCAAGAAGAGACTGATTTTAGATCTATCATTATTAAACAGGCATGTTTGGAAATGCTCTCTGGAGTATGAAGACTGGAGAACAGCTCTTATGTACATAAACAAAAATGACTGGTTGGTGAAATTTGACATATATTCTGCCTATCACCACGTACATATTTTTGAACCTCATACTGATTTTTTGTGATTTTCTTGTGGTGTTGGTGGGGGCAGAACATTTTATAAGTTTGTAGTTATGCCTTTTGGGTTGACAACTGCGCCTTACGTGTTTACTAAAATTACACGTCCATTGGTAAAGTACTGGCGATCTCAGTCGTACAGATGTGTGACATTTCTAGATGAAGGGATAGTGTCTGGTGATAGTTTGAATAGTGCATGAAGCATTGGGCTAGCTATCAAGAGTGACCTGATTAAATCCGGTTTTGTACCGAAGGTTGAGAAGTCGTTATGAGAGCCAAGTCAAGTTGTTGAGTGGCTGGGTCTTGTCATTGATACCAGAGTTATGATGTTGTCCATTCCTACACGGAGGCTGGACAAGCTACTGTCGTCTGTCCGATATCTCTTAGATCATCCAGGTAAAGTTCCGGTTCGATCTGTTGCTTCAGTTGTTGGCCAGATTATTTCCATGAAGATTGTAGCGGGTTCCGTTTGCCAGTTGATGACAAGATCATTGAGTATTCAGATTCTTGAAGTTATTACCTGGAATGATTTTATTTCACTATCTCCTGAGAGTATAGTTCAACTGATATTTTGGAAGAACAATCTGCATAATCACAAGGACTGTATGCTAGTAGAACAACGTGTGGTCACTAAAGTAGTATACAGTGATGCTAGTTCTAGTGGGTATGGCGGATATTGTGTTCAGCTTGGCCAGAGTGAGATATATGGACACTGGTCTACAGAAGACGCGAATAAGAGTTCGACATGGGGAGAGCTGATGGCGGTGAAGGTGCTTCTTCAAAGCTTGGCTGCGGAGTTAGCCTCGCAGCGAGTAAAGTGGTTCACTGACAATACGAACGTTGAATCCATAGTGTGTAAAGGTAGCATGAAACCAGAGTTGCAGGCTATTGCCAGATCTATATACGATGTCTGTTTATCTCATTCTGTGCATTTGGAAATGCAATGGGTCCCTAGATCACTTAATGACAAAGCTGACTTTTTGAGCAAGGCAATTGATCACGATGATTGGGGAATTTCGCAATATAATTTTAGAATCTGGAGAAGATGTGGGGAAGATATGATGTCGACAGATTTGCTTCTCATTACAACGCAAAAGTGTCAACTTTCTGTTCAAGATTCTGGGATCAAGGATGTGTTGCAATAGATGCATTCACTGAGCATTGGGGTGATACAAACAACTGGATTGTTCCGCCTGTGTATCTTGTTTGTAGAGTTATGGCTCATATGAAGGTTTGCAAAGCTAAAGGTACTTTGGTTGTGCCAGCGTGGTACTCTGCCAGTTACTGGCAACTGTTGTGTCCGAACGGAACTTTCATACCTGAAGTGCTTGATTTCGTGTATTTACCCAGAGACAAGGAAGCTTATGTCCCCAGCCGGATTCCAAAGGGTGTGTTTGGTGAGAGAGACTTAACCTTTGACATGTTGGCAATCAATATGAAATACTGATTGACTTATTCTCTTTGCAGATGTCTTTGAGATTGCGTACGCTGATGACATTCATAGCCTTTCGGGCCCAGGCAGAGAGTTGGTTAGTAGAATTCCAGAACTTTTGCAATTTGCACGAGCTGATTCAACTAATAAGAAATATGATTATGGAATGCAGAGGTGTGTACTGATATGCACATCTATGAGAGTTATCTCCCTTGTATTGTAAAGAGGGTTAAATGAGTAAAGCAACATGTCCGACCTGTACCCACGACGTCTCTGTGTTTATTCAAATCTCAAGATACACAGAACGCTACAAGGTGTCAGAAGTGGTTAGAAAAGTCTACAAGAATCTTTTCTACAGATATACTGGAGTTTGCAGTCGACAAATTACCAGGTGTGAGGTACAATTCGAATTTACGCCTCATCGGTCGCGCACGTGGTTTGCAAAGTCCCCCAGTTTTCGAGCAGGGAATTGAATGTAAGTCAAATCTTGTACACTGACTTTTCAAAGAACTCTTGATATGAAAAGTATCTATGAAGTGTACTCTACCTCGTTGGAACGAATTATGATAATTCTCTCTATAAACTGCAAAATCCATCACAGTTACGTTTGACTTGAAAATCTAATGTAGACTTGCTGAGGCTTCACATTTTCTGCGGAGATTGTTACTACATTCTTATCATGGCTGAGGGTCAAGAAAATGCTGCAAAGGTGGTATATATGCCTTCTGCAATTCCTCTACCGCCAAAATTGGATCTGAAGGGGAATTTAGCCTCAAACTGGAAAAGATTTAAACGTGGATGGGACAATTATGAAATTGCTCAGAGACTTGTTTCAGAAGAAATGAGATTTAGAACGGCAACTCTTCTTACAGCTGTTGGATCTGATGCTCTGGAAGTCTTTGATGGGTTTCAATTTGCAAATGAAGATGATAAGTCTAACATAAACATTGTTTTGGAATTTTTTTAGACATTTTGTGTTGGTTCGACAAGTGAAACATATGAGCGTTACTTTTTCAATAAACGTGAACAGGAAAGCAGTGAATCTATTGATACTTATGTAGCGGCTCTGCGATCTCTTGCCAAATCCTGCAATTACGGCACACTAACAGATTCATTGATCAAAGACAGAATTGTTGTAGGAATTCTTGACAATAGCACAAGAAAGAAACTGTTACAAACTGCAGACTTGACACTAGGGAAGTGTATCACTGTGTGCAGAGCATGTGAAACAACAGATCATCAACTCAAATCTATGAGAGTCCTTTTGTGAGTGGAAACAGAAATGGAAAGAAAAGTGGTCAAAGCAAAAGTGGAAGATCAGAGAGGGAACAAACTAAACCAAAATATGTGTCCTACATTGAAGAGTGCAGATTCTGTGGCAGATCTCATGCAAGAGATAGAGACCAGTGTCCAGCATTTGGAAAGAAATGTACATATTGTCATGGCATGAACCATTTTGATATCAAGTGTAAACGTAAGAAAGTGAAAAGCAGACAGAAAGGAAACAGGCGACAGCGAGTCAGTGCTGTTGAAGATCTCTCCGCTTCTGAATCAGAGAGTGAGTTAGGAGACTATGCCTTGAGTCTTGAAGAATCTATCCTGTCTGTGAATGATAACCCTCCTAAGAAACTGTTTGCTCAGATGAAAGTCAACAAACAGAATGTGAAGTTTCAACTTGATTGTGGTGCAACCGTGAATGCTATGCCAGTCTCTTTGTTCAGGACAATATTCCATGGAAAGGAAGAGAGGTTTGATCCTTACAACACTCCACTGATACTCTACAACAATACAAAAATGAACACTATTGGAAAAACCCAGATTTCTGTAGTGAATCCAAGGAATTGTGAAACCCACATACTTGAATTCATCATAGTTCAGGATGAAGTTAGACCTGTTCTTGGCGCACAGGCAGTCCAAGAGATGAACCTGATTACAGTCAACTTCGACAACATAATGTCGATTTCCAAAGACAATGTAATCGAAGAGTTTTCTGATGTCTTCAATGGGGAAGGAAAGTTAGAAGGGACCCTCAAACTTGAGATAGATCCAAAAGTCTCTGCAGTGAAGACTCCTTTGAGGAAAACTCCAATAGCTATTAAGCCTAAGCTCAAGGCTGAACTGAACAGATTGGAAAAGCTCGGAGTGATACAGAAGGTTGATGTACCAACTGAGTGGATTTCGTCAATGGTAGTGGTCATGAAAAGTAATGGACGTCTACGTGTCTGTTTAGACCCACAACCTCTCAACAAAGCTTTAAAGAGAAATGATTACTCAATGTCAACAATTGATGATGTCTTGCCTGAACTGTCAAATGCAAAACTCTTTACAGTGGTTGATGTCAAAAATGGATTTTGGCATGTGTGCTTGGATGAAAACAGCAGTTATCTAACCACATTTGATACCCCATGGGGAAAATTTCGGTGGAAAAGAATGCCCTTTGGTATCTCACCTGCCCCAGAGGAATTCCAGAGACGACTCGATGATGCATTGGAAGGTCTTCATGGAGCTAAAGCTATTCATGATGACATCATCATATATGGATCAGGCAGCAATATGGATGAAGCAACACAAGATCATGATGCAAATCTCAAAGCTCTCCTCCAAAGATGTCGGATGAAAGGCATCAAACTGAATTTCCAGAAACTGAAATTGAGACGAACTGAAGTTACCTATCTAGGTCATGTGATATCATCAGAAGGTCTAAAAGTTGATCCTTCAAAAGTTGAGGCAATCTTGAAAATGCCACCTCCAACTGATAAACAAGGGATACAACGTCTGTTGGGACTTATCAATTTTGTGCAGAGGTTTGCTCCACAGCTGTCGGAAGCAACTGCACCTTTCAGAGATTTGCTCAAATCAGGTGTTGTATTTCGCTGGAATGATGATATTCACACCAAAGCCTTTGATGAAGTGAAGAAGATCTTGTCTGCTAAACCAGTTCTGAAGTATTTCAATCCAGAGGCTGAAACCGTGTTGCAATGTGATGCATCGGAAAAAGGTTTAGGGGCTTGCCTTATGCAGAATGATCATCCAATCATGTATGCATCGCGAGCACTCACTGAGACTGAAACAAATTATGCTCAGATAGAGAAGGAGCTACTCGCCATTGTGTTTGGCATGGAGAAGTTTGACAGATATGTGTATGGGCGACATGTGAAGATAGAATCTGATCACAAGCCTCTAGAGACTATCTTGAAGAAGAGTCTCCACAATGCTCCGAAGCGCTTGCAGAGAATGATGCTACGCTTACAACGTTATGACTTTGAAGTGGTTTACAAGAAGGGTTCTTTGATGGTCATGGCTGATACCCTCAGTCGTGCCTTTCTACCACAAATGTCAAACCAGTGGAATCAAGATGCTCACTGTATCATGATGGTAGACAGTCGATCTCCAGCTGAAATAGATGTCGAATCAATCGATATGGTGAGCTATGTTCCAATATCATCACAAACATTCACTCAAATATCCAAAGCCTCATCTGAAGATAGAGAAATCCAAGCAGTAGCTGCAGTCATCATAGAGGGATGGCCAGACAATAGATCTGATCTCTCAACTGTGGTTCAGCAATACTTCAACTATAGAGACGAACTGTCATTCCAGAATGGTGTAGTCTTTAAAGGTGAACGTGTGGTAGTGCCTAAAGCTGAACGACACAACATCATGGTCAAACTACACTCTAGTCACTGTGGAATTCAGAATTCTCTTAGAAGAGCAAGAGAAGCTGTGTTTTGGCCCAATATGAATAGAGATGTGAAGGAATTCATAAACAAGTGTGAAATCTGTGCCTGTTACAATGATGAGCAGCAGAAAGAACCATTAAAAAGTCACAGTCTGCCAAGCCGTCCCTGGGAGAAAGTAGGAGTCGATTTGTTCGACTTTGAGGGGAAAGACTTTCTCATAACGACCGACTATTACTCAGACTTCTTCGAAGTAGATAGACTACATGATAAGACATCAAAAACGGTCATCAGGAAGCTGAAGCAGCAGTTTGCCAGACATGGTATTCCGGTTCAGGTCATGTCAGACAACGGACCACCATTTGGCTCCAAAGCTTTTGCAACGTTTGCCAGAACTTTTGAATTTGAACATTGTACAAGCTCTCCGCGCTATCCACAGTCCAACGGGAAAGTTGAGAACTCAGTGAAAGTGGCCAAGAGAATAATGATAAAGTCAAGGAAAGCTGGCACGGATCCCTATTTGGCACTCCTCGATTGGCGGAACACACCTACAGAACACATGGAAAGCTCCCCAGTTCAGCGACTCTACAGCCGAAGAACACGCACTTTGCTGAGTTTGTCAGCCAAACAACTGTCACCTAAGGCAGTTAATTCAGTCCCAAAGAAGCTTTGGACTAGAAAGGCAAAACAGAAGAAATATTATGACAGAAATGCCAAGACCCTCCCAGAGCTAAAACCAGGTGAGACAGTCGTAATGAAGCCGTATGGAGGAGAAAAGGAATGGAAAAGTGCTAAGGTGAAAGACAAAGTGGGAATAAGATCTTACTGTGTCGAAACTGAGGAAGGGATGCAGTATAGGAGAAATCGCAGACATCTCCGAGGTCCGAAACAGGTCAGGTTTCAACCTAACATCTCGGATCCAGTCGACAATACAGTCCCAGCAGAGAAACAGAACATAACAGAGCCTGAGATCAAACCGGGCCCAGAACAGTCAACAACCAGTAGCACACAGAGCTGTCCTACCCAGACACGAAGTGGCAGACAGATCAAGCCACCCCAGTATCTTAAGGACTATGTGACTGGCTAAATCAACAGTATTGTACTTGACAAGTCCCATTGTCGGAACTGATGAAAAAATGTGCAGGTTGTGTCAAAAGACTAAATTATAAATTTAAACACTTTGGTTTCAGAAATAATAATTTCATGACTATTAACAAAACATATTTGACATTGTTTCTCCAGTGATTTTATCTCTGTAAAATGCAATCATCTTCAGTATACCTAAAGATGCTTCATTGTACATCTTAGAGAGGGGAGATGTACTGATATGCACATCTATGAGAGTTATCTCCCTTGTATTGTAAAGAGGGTTAAATGAGTAAAGCAACATGTCCGACCTGTACCCACGACGTCTCTGTGTATATTCAAATCTCAAGATACACAGAACGCTACAAGGTGGTTAAAGTGGGCGAGAAGTAATGATATGCCTATACATTTTCCAATAAACCTTTACATTGTGCCATTTACCTAGTTTCTGTGATGCAACTTAGCCATTCTTTTTCGCCCGTTCATGCGCGTTTTATAGCATTCGTCATGCTCATAGTATTATAGGCTTGCCCAGTCCTACTGATAATCTTCTGGTGAGAAATGTGTTGGAGGCTGCTAAGCGAAAGTTGGCTAAACCAGTGTGTAAAAAAGAGCCTATATCTATCGATATATTAGAAAGTTGATTTTTATTCGGATACAGGATGTTTGACTCAACCTATTCTAAATGTTTCAGGTCTTTGTATGACTCGGTGCCATGAGAGCAGCTCCTCGCTGTCTGCAGGCTCGTTGCTATAGGAGAGGCTCGTCGCCTTTTGAGAGGCTTGTCGCCGTTGGCCATGCTTGACGCCGATAGAGGTTTGTCGCCACTTGAGAGGCTTGTTGCCATTTTGAGAGGCTTGTCGCTGTCGGCCATGCTTGGTGCGGACTGAGAGGCTTGTCGCCGTCTGCTTGGCTCGTTGCCAGTTATATTGGTTTGCCAGTGTCTCTGAGAGGCTTGTCGCCTGCTTCCTTTCAGGCTTGTACATACTTGTAAATATATATACTCTTCTTTCACGCAATAAACCGCGGCGGTGCACAGCATAGCCATCCAATGTGTGTTATGTTATTTATTGTATTGTGTTTGCAAGGGCTAGGAGAACGAGAATAGATGAGGTCCCACCCCAGCGATAACAACGACATTTATCCATGTATGTCTGTATGTTTATGCGATAATAATCAAGAGCACAATAGGAATGAATATATAATCTGAAACTGAGTAATCGATAATCAATAAGTCGTTTAAAAAAATCGTTAAATCAGTATCAATCATGTCTATAGCGTTTCTACGGGAGCACTTCAGTGTCTATCCGTGCTACCTGATGAAACAACAGTTGGCTTTAGATGATGTTAGTCGTTAGTCGTTATAAAAAACAGTATCAATCATGTCTATAGCGTTTTTCTTCGGGAGCACTTCAGCGTCTACTTCATGAAAACACCAGTGGGCTTTAGATAATGTGTTTTATCTCAATCGAATGTGTCCTTGCTGCATGTTAAAGGTTGACCGTTGAAGTCTATGTTCTGTCTTGTAATGATTAATGGATGCACACATGGACATGCGTTTTATTCATTTTAATCTCCTTTTGGGATACTGTTCTTACACATGTAAGTATCACATTCATATCGAATCTGTCACATTCTTGATACTTTTCTGAATACAGATTTATGTGTCACGTTTAGACATGAACGTTACGGATATTGATATACACGTGTTGTTGTAATGAATATTCCACTTGAAGATTGGCAACTGCTTTTGGCTGGTTTTACTTTTAACAAATCGTAATTGCTTAGCCTTGGGACAATTTATGGCCCCAGCATCCGCTTTCATATGTCAGAAGGCTCGGCGTGCTATAGAGCACTGGCTGAATAAGTTAATGTTTGAGAGTCTTCACTATATCCCAAGATAGAAGACATAACAGAAGACATTACCACGGTGTAGAAGGTTATAAAGATGTCTGGCTTAGGAGCATGCTGGCGTTGATTAGGTGTCTTCGTGATTGATTTGCAATTTGTGATAAACTTGATTTATGCTTTACGGCGGTTGCTGCTTTGAATGATATCAATGTTCCAAGGCAGTAACAGTCGGACATGGATAGTAATGAAGGTCATTACAATAAGATTACAATGTGATGTAAGCTGTAATAACCAAAACCCATCAACGACGGGTTATGCACTAGTCAGGTCATATGCTATTTCAGTATCGTGATCTTGTGATCTATTAAATCACAAGCCTAATGCTGTGTGACGTGCAAATATTATTTTTTAGCATTGTACCAGAACACGTTAGACGTTGTGTTCTTGGTAGAATGTACAAACTCACAAAGGAAATACAGAACTGTATTAAACCCAATATATAGGTTTGGTTTGGTTTGGCTATATCAAATAGTACCATATGTATGACCAGTGGTTGGGGACGGAACCTGCCAAAACTATGCGTTAATACCATCAACGTTTACCTCAAGGGATACCCATTACTCTGTCGCAATGGATTCCAAAGCACCCAAATTCATAAAAAGAGAGACATATATTGTTGGGTCAAAATGTATCACTTACAAAATCCCTGTCTGAAAGATTAACCATAATCCTTAATGCAGTCAAGGATGGCCTTGATCAGAAAAGTTGCAATTCAGCCATTTCAAAGTTTCGTTCAGTAAACATGTTTTAAATGTCAGCATCAATTTAATTATTGTTTTTGTTCAAAGAAAGTGCATTAATATCCAATTACAGATAAGTAATTTGCAATAAGTAAGTGAACCTCAGAATTTGGTGGAATGAATTAATGACTGAGATTTTAATTGCTTCACTTTCAAATGACATTGAAGTGAAAGAATTGTCCCTGTTGTAACTTGTCTTGTAGTCACGATAATCCGACTTCGTTGTACTTGAAATAAGAACTCATTTGGCATAAGAAATAAGAAAGAATAATGATTAAAAATACAGTAATAAACTTCAAGGTTATCTTTCAAATATATGTTGACGGAACATAACTTTGATAGAGATAGAGATTTTGCCTGACAAATTCACTCAAAAGCAGTCACCTGTACATTCATGACAAGAACTTAGGAATCTCTCACCTCTTCAATAGGGATTCTTCGGCATCAGGAGTTTCCAAAATAGGTACACAAATGTTGCTTAAATGGCAATAAGGCTTCAATAATCGCGCATAATCGTGCTTATACGTCGTTGCTCTAACATTAAACACAAGCTTTCATGTCCCGGACCAGCTAATATGCAATTAGCGTTCATAACGCTAAGTGACCGCCTCCGTGGTGTAGTGGTTAGAGCGTCCGCCCGGAGAGCGGAAGGTCACGGGTTCGATCCCCGGTCGCGTCATACCAAAAGACGTTAAAATATGATACTTGTTGGTCCTGCCTGTCGCTCGGCATTAATGGGTACAACAAGGACTGATCGGCTCGGAGTCAGTATAATGTGTCTGAGTGGGGTATTCATGCTTCACTGCGGCATGGTATCTCAGTGAGCTAGCACTATAAAACCAGCTTAAGTCTAGGCTAGACCAAGCAGCCGCACATACACATACACACGCATGCATAGATTCATTTTTTGTTAATTCAGTATTTCGGGCCTAAAGGCCTATAGTAGACGCATGCACGTCGTCATATGAGCGCAATATTCTCAAGCACGACGTTAAACCCAGTTTCACCTCACCTCATAACGCTAAGTGCTGAGTATTGCGCTTAAACAAGCGGACAGAGTATGAACAACAATAGTTGATTCTGTGTTATCACATTGGTTTTGAGAGCCATCTCACCATTTCCTTCTGTTAGTGTCCATATGGATAAAGCACCTGCACCCACTCAAAGGTTCTCCTTGTAAACATCGGCGTCCTTGTTCAGAATAGCTATTGGGTGTGGATAAAATGATACATTTTACAGAGATCATGGATACCTTTGCTGTTGCTGACACGACTGGAACTGTATTCACCAGTCAATTCAAATTAAATTCTTATTAAACTTCGACTGAGAATTAATATTGTTCTCCTTTGCAGCTATCTGATCTGATCTGATCTGATCTGATACCGAACATATAATATAAGAAGTCGCCTCAACACATCACTCAAGGCAATGCCATGTAAGACAGTGATAATTTTTATTGTTATAGACACCATCGAGTACATGATTCATCATTGTGTTTGTCTTTAATACTTGGAGGTGAGATCTTCGTGTATCTTTGTGAGATAAGACTATTTCTATTGAATGTATTGAGCATAAACTTTGGGAATATTGATTAATATTACACTTTTGAACAAGGATAATTTCTCATTTTCTCCGCGCATAGTCCTGAATTGGCAAACAATTAAGCCAATCTCTGAAAATCTCTCGCGGAAAGTGTAAACATGACCTGTAGCACCAGCGATTCCCACAATTTGGATACGAATGGAAGTATTTTTGTTGCGCCATGAACTAAACCCATTGATATCCTACTGAAATATACGCAAGAAATTCAGTGTTTAACGCACCACTAGCATTATACTGGTTTGTCAGGAACATATCACTGTTTGTCGGTTTAACAGATGTCTAACTTCAAGGGCCTACACCATCAATATAATTCCGCATTTACGCGTTGTACACACCAATGCCTGACAATCGTCTTCAGTTACAAACTCTTTACGGAATTTGACCTTTAGCATGTGAATTGAAGATTTAAGGAACAGGGTGGCGTTGTACAAAGCGATCTTAGCGCTAAGGTGACCGTATCTCCCATACCTTAACATAGACTTAAGGTAGTCTTAACGCTAAGGTGACCGTATCTCCCATACCTTAACATAGAAGACTTACGGTAATCTTAGCGCTAAGGTAGTTTTGTACAGCGCCACCCAGTTGAATATCTCAAAATGGCCCACTATAGTTTATAGTACCTGCACCCTTTTATTCAAACATGAATCCTATGTAATTTCGGCTGTCACAGATACTGCATGAGTTGTATGATAACAGAATTAGGTATACGTGACAAATCAAACAATTCCCAATATAACGATAGTATGTT